GAGGCCGCATCACTGGAAACATTCAAGACCAGGTTGGAGAGGGCTCTGAGCAACCTGATCTAGTTAGTGGTGTCCCTGCTCGCTGCGGGGGGGGTTGGACTAGATGACCTCTAGGGGTCCCTTCTGACCCCAAACTTTCTATGATTCTATGATTCTATGTAGCTCTGCTTGTACAATGCATGTGAAAAGCCATCAGAAGTACTTTTAGTTCTTCCTAGCTCTGCCAACTTCAGGTACAAGTTTAAATAGAGTACCACAAAAAAGGGGCGAGAGATTGAAGTACACCCACATCTGTATGCGCTTCACTAAGAACAGCTCTGGCATCTACGTAGTTAGCATGCAGACAGACATCGTAAATATTACCTGCGACAGTTATGCGGAAATATGATCTTGTATCGTGATGGATTATGCGAGTCTCTACACACAGAGCTGCTATAGATCTGATCAGCTTCTAGCAAATCACCTCCAGAGAGGGGCCTCGGGTTAGGACAAAAGGAACAGGCACAGAGGAATTCTGCATCTGCTCTTCCGCCGGTACTTCCTAGCGCTGGATCAGACAGCTCTGAGGAAATCCATGCCTTGTTTACCGTAGGCCAAGTCCTGAGCTCTCAAGTTCAGAGCCCCTGCTGCCTTGGCTCCCAGGATTACAGTACGGTCTCAGACTGCACAGAGATTGCTTGAAGCCATCAGATACATTAAGACTAAGAGAAAGAGATGGAAAATTAAGGTAGTAAAAGGCACTAAATTTCGGCTGTTATTAGGATGGGGGATTAAAACAGATTAAGCAGATTCAAATAGTACACAAGGATTTACTTAATACCCAGAGGATGATAAGACAGAAGCTGTAAGGGCTAAAAAGACATTTGTAGATACATTCAATCTTGACACAGTCAAAGATATCATCGGGTTCATCTACAGCTGGCAACACAGATCTGTTCTAGCAAATGAAGTCTGTTCCTATACGGCCAATAGCTTAAAACTTAGTCTGACACATCTTTGTAGGAGGCAAAGAGCATCAAGTTTTGTTTTCATCATTTTAAGAAATACTAAATAAGATTATCTTCAGGTTTCGAACATATAACGCTCAGAGAATGATACTTTAATAATCAGCTTACTGGGAAGATCAGCTTCTCTATGAAAGACCTTGCAGGTAACAATGACTAAGTTTTCTTAGCAGCCAAGAAATCCTGTGTGTTCTCTAAATTTTGCCTCCAGTATTTCCTCTGTGGGTTACAAAAGCTGCCCTACTTTCTCCATGCCCATCAGAACTTTGCCAGAGATAAAAATGCCGATATTTGACATTCTGTTTTGGGGGGAAAACTAGCTTTCAACTACAGAATCATCTAAAATGTGAGCTGTCTAAAGGGGATGATCTTGGGATCCCAGCCTCTCCAAACCAGCTATTCTCATCACATTCCACAAGTCTGCCATTCCACCAGTCGCGCCCTGGTCTTATTCCAAGAGGCACCAACACTTCTCAGCAGAGTACCTGAAGCTGTGAACACCAAAGAAAGCAGAACTCCCCGTAAGAACAGTTGTACGCAGCCCTCTTCAGATCAGGTGCATGGACTAAATAATTTTGAGACCTCTTCCTGCACCATTATTCAGTGATCTTCACCTTCTGCCTTGGTAGAAACGTATGCTGTTTTCCCACGCGTACAAGAGATCTAGCCTGGTTCACGTGCTGTCCTTAAGCAAAACAAGGCAATGAAAAAGATAAAAATCTAACACACCTGGCTTTTCAAGGAAAAGCAGAAAGCACTGCTCACCAAGGCATGAAGAACTGGCAAGTACCAAAAAGAAGGTTCTTATTAGCTACGTCGATGAAAAACCTAAAAAACTGTGCAGAGATAGAAAAGCAGTAGAGGGGATGGCAGGAAGTGAAGGGAGGCGACATTCTGAACTACACCTGAGGATCCATCTTAAAATTTTGGGCAGACCAAAGGCGTTCAGGTCTAAAACTGTGACCTTATACATAAACTTAGGAGCTGCCCACAATCCTTAAGCTTTTCACAAACCGACTCCAGTTTCACCCAGAAGCCTTAACAGTGTTCCTCTGCGTATGATCAGGAAAGCAACTGTCTTTACAGGCAGCAGTAGTCACAACAAAACCCAGCTAAAATTCAGAAAATGGGCACTATTTCACTGTCACCCAAGTGTTTCAACCCAGTCGGCCTTCCAGGAGCACAGCCAGCCTGGCACACTGCAGCCTCGGCATCCTCAAAAGCACAACTTTAAAAAGCTGCCTTTTTTTTTTCTAAATTTAAAACCATAAAAGCCTATTGACGAAATGTTTGTTCAGGACGTAGAAGTCCAATGTTCAGTCCCCTCTCCGGCTTGCAATGAGCTGTAAAGTCTTATTTAATCACTCAGAAGAGAGCTGTAAACACCAAGACATCAACCACTGTTGGTACAGCACCCTCTTTTCCTCCCGGCAATGCTACATCAGTGACCTTGTCCTGTAACTGGTTCCTGCTAAAAGATTTCAGGGTGCTCCCAACACACTTCAGGGCCCAACGTCACCTCTCGACCAGTATCTGCAGAGAAACTGACCACGCTGCATGGAAAAGGCAAGTCGCACTGCTTTAGTCATGATACATTTTGTTGTTCTCATAAAAGAATAAACTCAAAGAACAATCTCTCACCTTGTTAAGGACAGCAAAGAAATGTAGCCTTGATATTCTAGATGTTTTTTTTGTTTGGCAACAAACATTGTTGATTTAAGATCCAGGTCATTTCAAACCAAAAGTTCAAAGTGCAGTCAGATACTGCACCTGCGAACACCGGATTTTCTGTCAGCATTTTGTTTCAAAGTCTCTGTTTAAAGAAGACTCCTTCCTGCTGTTCCACATCGAAGAGGCAAATAGGAAGAGTTCAGAAATGGTTTTGGTGCTGTCCACCGCCAGTTAGCACAGTGCTCGCACATCGCCAAGTGAGCTGGGCATAGGCACAGGTTCCAAAGTTTTTATGTTCTCCTCACTGACAAACCACCACTGCAAAAATCCAAGTGATCATATAGGGCAGGCCATCCCAGAAAGAGTCATTAAACGTACCAGGAAAGACAGGGAAGAAAAGCTTATTTCTAGCTCACTGGGCCCAAACCTTCCGAAGTCCTTAGGCACATAGCTTCCATTTACTGTCGCAGGAGATCAGGCATCTAATGCTTGCTGCTGTGCTTAATTTGCCTCCGGGCTCTCAGCCTCACCCTCTTCTAGGTACATTAGCTATTGCCATAATACAGGAAAATTCTGAAGAACCAATTTTATTGTTACATTATATTTTTCCTTGTATTCTGTGACTTAATTGCCAGTAATGTTTTTTTTAAACAAGGCTTACTGCTACTATACTAGATACAGATAAGATCTCCTGCTCAATAGGCTTGATACATTGCCATGGGTCCCAGAATCATGTGAATTAATTGCATTGATACTCAAATGTATTCATGTTTTCAGATTCTGGTCCATATTTCCCATTTCTCATTGATACACTGAAACAAGCAAGAGAATACTTCTATAATGCGAGCATTGTCACTGCACTTAACTACTCATTGCCTGCTGCTTCCGTGATCTTGCTTAGAAAGTGTAAACTAACAGTCCAGACCCAACACATCTGATCAAGAGAATCTCTCCTCTGTGTCAGCACAAAGTTTGTTGCATGCTCCTCTTTGGTATAGCCAGAGCAACAGAAAAAGCTAACTTGTTGAATTTTTGCTTGAGAACAAGATGCTCCTGTGTCCTCTTCAAATACTGCTGGCAAATATACAGACTAGCAAAAGTAGCCCTTTAGCCATCTGCCACATACCCAGCTCCCAGCCAAACGTTTACACCTTTTTCGTGAATAAAATGAAGGTTTCCGTCAAATTTTTCCATGGCATTACCTGGAAACAGCCTGGAATTGAAATACTAAGTAATGATGGTCTCAGATCAGAGCTGAGTATTTTCGAGCAACAAATCACTGCAAGAATCTAACAGCGTAAGCCCAGTCCTGCCCTCTCTGCATAAAAACTGTACGCTTCTAGGCATGCTTTTACGTACGCTTCCATGGTCAAAAGTACGGCTGAACATCACCCTGAAGTTCTGTTTCAGCTGGCAGAGCAGACCTCTCTTGCTCACGTTTTATATAGTTTTAAGAAACAAAACTCTTCTGAAGAGTTTTGAAAGCTGGCTCTCGCCTTTGTATACGCTGACCTTGCACTTGACCATTAGAGCGGCGCTGAGGTCCTGCACTTCCCAGAGCACTGATGCTTCCAGCACAAATCTGCTGCTTCGCATCCGCCTTCTGGACATCGGCATCTTTTCATTTTCGAGTACAGGACGCCCACATTTGGTGCATCCTTAAACCACGATACGCAAGGATCTGTATTTATGCAGCAGCTTTAAGCCAAGAAATTCAAAGTTATTCTAAAAGTAATAGCCTCAGTTATTCCAAAAATAACAGCCTTATCCAAACAACTTTTTTCAACTTTACCTGCAAATTACTCTTTAAAAAATGCGTTAGTAGAATACTCCTCTCCCTCCTGGAGCTATTAAAGATTTCTACTGCCCAGGAACCGCAGCCTTGCACTTTGGCAGCTGAGTGTTCTCTCCACAACATACAACTAATAACGCTGAGACAAGACCGACGCAGGCACCGGTCCCAGAACCGGACACAGTCTGTACCGCTAGACCAGCGGCAGGCAATTCCTGGGATAAACGGGAAAGGCAGGCAAAGCGATGCGCAGCCCTTCGGGAATAACAGCCCCCCTGTAAAACGCGTGGAAGCGAGGGGAGAGCTCTCTGGGAGCCCAAGCAAACACCAAATCCAGCAGGGCGAGGATCCCACCCGCCGTTAGACACCAAAACCCCGCAGGCTGGAGGGAGAGAAGGGGAAGCAGCGCATGAGGAGCAAAACTTTGTGCGAGGGTGGACAGCTGGAGCCCAGACTTCCCCAGAGGAGGAGGAGGAGGAGGAGGAGGAGGGTGCTCTGCAAGCCTCAGGAAAGGGCGGCAGGGCGGCGAGTACCTTGTAGCTGAGCCGAGAGGGACTCCTGGTGCTGCTGGTACTTGACGGCCGTGGCCTCCGCCTTCCTCAGCTGGCCCCGC